GCGAACGGGCCCCTCGGTGCGGGGGCCCTGGGCAGCCCCTCCGTGAGACATGTCTGCCCCCTAGAGGGGCCGGCAGCAGCGCGTGGGCCCTGTGAGGAGAGAGAGGAGGTCTCATGGCGGAGGGCCTGCCTCCCGCTCAGGACGCCGGGCCACCGGGAACGGGGAGACGCCTCGCTCAGCCTGCCTTCAGGTGCCCGCCAGGCCCGGCCCGCTCCGGAGGCCTGGAGGCCAGTGGTGTCAGCCCCCGGTGAGGGGCCAGGCCTGCCGCCCCACAGGGTGAGCTGCAGCCACCCGAAGGCCTTCCCCTCGGAGGGCTTACACTTCTGCTCGGACGGGCTGTGACATTAACAATGGCCAGTTATTGATTCCTTGTCTCCGAGCATCGTTTCATTTCACACTGGCAGCCACCGGTGAGGACACGGAGGCAGAGGCGTTTAGTGACGCGCCCAAGGACGGGCACAGAGGAGTGAGGGCCGGTCTCCTCTCTCCATCTTGAAGCCCGGCTCTCAACCCTCCGCGGACGCCCAGGGGGTCCGTCCCCGTCCCCAGCCCCTCACGTCGGTCCTGTCCTGCGAGACAGCCCGGCCCGGTTCCCAGGCCTGACGAGGACAGTCTCCTACCGCGCAGGGAACTCGGCTCCAAACCGTCCAGAAGCTCCCACTCGGAGTCCCCCGGCGACCCCATTCCAGGGTTCCACCCCCACCTGGGAAGGGGCTGGAATCACGTGACGCAAGGAGCCCTGGTGAGGGACGGGGCGCAGGCTCCAATGAGACGCCGAGGACGGCACCTGCACGTGCCGACGCCGTGGCACCAGCAGAGGGCGCGCTCTCCCTCGCGTCCTCGGGCTCCCGCGCGGAGGCAGGAAGGTGGGTGGGTGTCTGAAGCCAAAGGTCGCCCAAGGGCCTGGAATGTCTGAGCGTGTGAACTTGCTCCTGGGGTGATGGGGAGTGACTGAACGAGCCTGAAGCCCTAGGGACATGTCGGAATCAGATCTACAGTTTTGCCTAATTAGTTGCTATTTTAATTATTATCTCAAAATATAAAAAGATAATTGACAGAGATAAAAATGCACATGGAAGCCAACTATAAAAGTTAGACATCAAAACTTTAACATGTCGCCGAAACCGGTTTGGCTCAGTGGATAGAGCGTCGGCCTGCGGACTGGGGGGTCCCGGGTTCGATTCCGGTCAAGGGCATGTACCTGGGTTGCGGGCACATCCCCAGTGGGAGATGTGCAGGAGGCGGCTGATCGATGATGTGTCTCTCTCATCGATGTTTCTAACTCTCTATCTCTCTCCCTTCCTCTCTGTAAGAAATCAATAAAATATATTTTAAAAAATAAAAATAAAAATAAAAAAAACTTTAACATGTCCTCTCACTTCCCAACTCAGGAGCAGCCTTGCTTTTTTTTCTTTTCTTTCTTTCTTTTTTTTTTATTTTTAATTTTATTAGGTTGTCATTTTAGTTGTTTGTTTATGTCACTTGCATAACTGTGAATACTGTCCTCACACTCTGGTCAGAGCTGGATGTGTTAGTGTTAGCAGTATCTACTGATTCCTTGCTGATGGTGATTTCATTAACCATCCTTTTCCCCTTTCTCCTCCCAAATTTTTTATATTCATATTTGTAGTTTTTTATTGGTTACAAGTATAATTTTGAATAACAATCTTAACTGTTTCTTCCTTAGATTGTATCTTTTGATTTTCCTCTGTGTGAAATGAATAATTTCTCCTCCCCACTTCTGCCTTCCTCCATCAACTCAATTTTTACTTTTACTTTGTGAAGGTTTGGAGTATGTACATTCTATTCTGTAAAAGGTGGTTCAGTTTGCCATTCTTTGCCTGTAGATTGATTCTTAACATTGAAAATCAGACGACATTTTATAACATTACTACCATGTGAGTATTTTCACTGCCAAACTCAGTTTGGGTGGACCTCACGAAGAGGAAGATGGGATTCCGGGCACTAAGCCTGGGCCATGGGACACCACGGAAAGCTTCTAGGTTCATGGAATACTACGCTGCAGTGAGAATGAATACGTTAGATCCACACGCCAACATGGGTGCATCTCAAAGACATCGTGTTGAATTTAAAAGGCAAGATAATGTTAATAACAGGAAACTGAATGCCAGGTATTTGGGAACTCTCTGTACTAATCTTCAATTTTTTTTCTATAAATCTAAATCTTTTCTTAAAAATAAGGTTTACCACACACACACACACAAAGGAAGCTGCTGTGTGACCTGTATTGAAAGCTATCATGATCTGGCTGTCAAGGTCCCAAATGAGGTAAGAATTGAGATTGATGTCACCGGTGACATCCAACCAACGCTCTCAAGAAGTAACTTTTTAAAAATATATATTTTATTGATTTTTTGCAGCGAGGAAGGGAGAGGGATAGAGAGTCAGAAACATCCATGAGAGAGAAACATGGATCAGCTGCCTCCTGCACATCCCCCACTAGGGACGTGCCCACAACCGCGGTACATGCCCTTGACCAGAATCGAACCCGGGACCCCTGAGTCCGCAGGCCAACGCTCTATCTCCTGAGCCAAACCAGTCAGGGAGAGAAGTAACTTTTTTAAGTGAAAAGACCTCCCACTATAAAACGTCCTGGTGATACTGGGCACGGACGGGTCCGTTACTGCCTTCGCCACTAAGCCAATAAGCAGAGACAAGGTGGAATCTTTTATGAGCGTTGATTAATCAGATAGCAGGCGACCTGAGAGAGCAGCAGGGTAGCACCTTGAGAAAGAGTGCTCTGACATTTCAGTTCAAGCTCTTGTACAGGGCTAGTGGGTGGGGAAAAATCCGAAGTTAGTGAGTTCCCAGGGCCTGTCTTCTTCCGTCGTCCTTGCGAAGATTAGCCCTGGAATGCTGTCTCCCTTCAGAGATGCTCTGTCCTTCATCTGGGCTCCCGGCCGCCTTATCTCCAGGGCCTGTTCTCCTTCGTGTGACACGTCCTTCAGTTTCCCAGGGTCTGTAGGAAAATCTCCTCTTCACAGTGAGCAGCTATTAAACAACTGTGGTTCTATTTCTATTATGTGTCCCTCCCCTATTACCTCCCCCCGCCCCCGCTAGTTCTAAATCTTATATCTATGAGGTTAGTTTCATATGGAAGGGTCTTGCTGCGAGTGGGGGAGGGGGGAGGGGCTGAGAAGTCCTCTAGGTGCAGGCCAGCGAAGTCCATGCGGTTAAGGACCTGGAAACTGGTCAAGTGATGGTCTGATGTGCATCACCCTGGTCTTTGTCATCCTGCCTCCACGTCATCTGAAGGTCGCTGAAGGTCTGAAGGTCAGCTGTTTCCCCCTCAGCCATTTCCTTCCACTGGCAGCATCTCCCAGAACTGGGGTGACTGAAGGTCAGAGCCTGTATCTTCGGAAGTGAGTTCCTGGGATTCCGATACAAGCATGCTGTTTATCTAGTCAGAGTCAGCATTTATGGAAACAATGCCAAGTGAATGGCAGGCCGGGTTACAGTTCCCACTGTTATTCCAGTCCATTGGGACAATGGAAACCTCCCACCATCGGGGAAGGTGCTATTAGCACCAGGTGGCACTGGGGGTAAATGGGCAGTGACAGATAACACACATACAGGGCTACTCTGAGCCAGGGACTGGTCTAAGTGCTTTACCTATCTCAGTCCTATATTTACCTATTTTGATTACCTATATTAATCCTTACAGCGAGTCTATGAGGTAAGGACTCTTATCGTCCCTACTTGACAGATGAGGAAGTAAGCACAGAGAGATAAGTAACTTGCCAAGGTTAGTAAGTGGAAGAATTGGTTTAGGAAGCCAGCCAGTCTCTCTATCTCCTGATATCCTAAAATGCTTTATTGTCATAAAAAATAATCAAAGTAGGGTTTTAACCAGGCTTTGGCCCAATGCCGTTCATGAAATCGTTTGCCGATTCCTCCATTTATTCAGCCTGTGCCTACTTATCACCAGGATTTGCCTTTGTTGTTGTTGTTCTTGGTTGCTTCTTGCTTTAAACGCCTTCCATAGAAGTGAAACTAGAGAAACTGCATGGGAGGCTGCAGACACGATCCAGGTGTCAGTGGTTCCTTTGGTGAGTGTTTATTGAGCATTTACTATGGGTTGGGACTCTTGTATATTATCGCACTGAATCTTCACAACGATATTATAAAGTAGACGTCCTTATTCACTTTTTACAGAGAAGAAAAACAGGTTTCAGTGGATGAAGGGACTTACCTGGGATCATGCAATCTCTAGGGAGGAGCAGAGCTGGTTCAACCTCAAGTCCAACTCAATTCAAAGTTCCTGCTCTAAACCAGCGTTCACCAACCGGTGGTCCGCGGACCACTGCTGGGCCGTGAGGTCCGAAAGGTTGGCGACCGCTGCTCTAAACTATATTCCCATGAGGGCAGGAACCAGACTGGATTTGCTTTGTTGGCCTCCTTATTCACAGTACCTAACGTGGTAGCTGCCATTTGGTGAGTGAGAACACACACACACACACACACACACACACACACACACATACACACAGGGAGGATATACAGCACAATATCACGGAAGCCAAGGAAAGACTGTTTGGTTTTTTGTGGGGGGTGAATTCTTCTAATAAATGGCTTCTCTTGAAATAAGCTTAGGCTCCCAGAAAAGCTCCAAATATAATACACGGCCCAGAGCGGGACCCTGAGACAGTTTGCGTTTACCTGTCCTGTGGCGCTCTGGAATTCAGCGGCCATGCCGCCCCGGTCTCCTCTGGCCTGTGGCGGTTGCTCGGGCTTTCCTTGCTCTTCATGACCTGGTCAGTTCTGAGGAGTAACACTCAGGCCGTTTGTGGAGTGTTCCTCACTTTGGGTTACTCTGATGTTTTTCTCCTGATTTAACTGGTCTTAAGGGTTTGGGGCGAGAATGCCACAGGGAAGTGCCTTCTCCCCACATCAGATCAGGGGTGTGTGGTAGCCACACAACATCACAGGTGAGAGGAACCTTCATCACACAGTAAGATAGTATTGTCCAGACTTCTCCACTGCAGTTACTGCTTTAAGAATTTTAAGATGGCCCTAGCCCAGGGTCGGCAAACTCATTAGTCAACAGAGCCAAATATCAACAGTACAACGATTGAAATTTCTTTTGAGAGCCAAATTTTTTATAAACCTAAACTATATAGATAGGTACATTGTTATTAACTTAATTAGGGTACTCCTAAGGTGGCCTTTGCTAAAAACGTCCTCATTTTATAATAATAAAGCCACCAACACAAAATAATTACAATTCTTAAATTGATGACAAAAATACCTGTAGGATTTGCAGCTGGTTGGAAAAATACAGGTAACTTTATGCTGCGAGTAGGTACTTTTGTCACCCGCGTGCGATTTGCGGATGCGACTAGCACTAACCACTGCACAATGAGACTGCTGACAGACCAGCTCACTCAACTCGTGCATGAATCACACACACCTCCCCCGCGCTGCGTATCCCGTGGGCGCCAGACCGACCAACACCCCCCACTTCTTCTAACGCCACTTCTTCAAAATAAACTCGCCCAGGCTGAAAACCGACTTCTGCGCATGGGCCACGAAGTTTCAATCGCACTGTACGTGCATGCCCGCACATGGTATGTTGTGGAAGAGCCACACTCAAGGGGCCAAAGAGTCGCATGTGGCACACGAGCCGCGGTTTGCCCTAGCCAGTTTTGTTCAGTGGTTAGAGCACTGAAGGATCCTGGGTTCAATTCCAGTCAAGGGCACATGCCTGGGTTTCGGACTCAATCCCCAGTGGGGTGTGTGCAGGAGGCAGCCAATCAGTGATTCTCTCTCATCATTGATGTTTCTATCTCTCTCTCACTTACCCTTCCGCTCTGAAATCAATAAAAAATATTTTTTTCAGAAGAGTTTTAAGATGGAAAGAGGTAATGTTTTCAAAGAATATTGAATGAGGTGGACAAAGTGTCATAGACGATGTTAAGCATGGACGTAGCACTGGAGCCGCCATGGATTCGACAAGGGGGGCGCTCTCAGTCTTGCCTCCCTGAGATGGACTGGTTTCTGTACATTGGCTTCCCCGCTGATGGGGAAAGAGGACAACCGTTCATTTTCCGTGGATGCTTTTGCACATTCTT